TTTCTTTCTTTCTTTCTTTCTTTCTTTCTTTCTTTCTTTCTTTCTTTGCCTTTCTACCTTCCTTCCTTTGTGTCTCCATCCATATATTATCTATCTATCTATCTATCTATCTATCTATCTATCTATCTATCTACCTATCTATCATCTATCATCTATCTATCAATCTCAACCCACATTTGAATGCAGGCATTTGTTAGGGAACTGAATCTTTGAGGATTTTGAGCTGAACAAATAAGGAAATAAGGAAAAGCTGACAAGAACAGACACACTGTCTGTAAAGAGGCTTGACTGGGAGAACCACATTAGGATTCTGTAGGGACTGCAGTGTATATTTTATTTAGAAAATGTGTGCTGATAGGAATATATATATATATATATATATATATATATATACACACACACACATACACACACACACACATACATATACATGTGTGTGTGTGTGTATGTATGTGCATATATACCCTGTTTTTTCAACAATACGGCCTCCCCCAATAGGAAGTCCCAACATGTTTTATAGGCATGAAATGAAATTAAGCCCCTCCCCCCAAATTAAGGCCTATATTAAAACATGTGAAATGGGGGGAATGGTGGGGGGGCTTGCCGTTAGGAAGTACTTTTGTTGCACACCCGGATATGGTGCTGCCTGTGTTGACCCCGATATGAAGTGCCCCACCAACGCTGAGGTCAACATCCAAGCCGTCGCCACTCGCCCACCCAAAGATCCAAGGGGGGGAATTAAGTTACCCCCGAAAAGACAGCCTAGCCATTTTTTCAGGGCTCAAAAAAAAAATAAGACCCGGCCTTATTATATGAGAAACACGGTATATATACATATACACATACACACATATATATGTGTCTCTTGCTCAAATGAGCGTGTACGTAATGCATGCAATAAAAAGTAAAGAAGCATATAATATGCAACTATTGCAATTCAAATTTACTTTTCAGAGCTCAGTAAAATTTGAAATCTGAAAAAGAAACCGAGACAAATACCTGAGCCATAAAAATGCTGTTCAGCCAGTCTAGCTGAGAAATCTGTCCATCACAACATAAATACCTAGAAGACAAATTAATATGAATTCACTTCCAGTGCCATAATATACTCAGTCCTCATGCAATTCTGAAATGGAAGCCTTTATCTGCCTGGAAGCGAAAAACCTCCTTAGCTAAAATAAATTAAACAAGAATAAAGAATGGAGTCTAAGTACAGCCAAGACATACAGTGTGTGTGTGTGAGACGGTGTGTATGTGTGTGTCTCAGAAGGCACATTTTATTATTGTTAGATAATCAATTTTCATTGCAAGATTCCCTATTCCTCAAAGAGCTAGTCCACTCAATTAATCAAGCTTTAGACTGATCTAAGTGGGCATGATCTCATTTGAGTGATCAATCTGCTTAGCAAGAGATTTCTTTGGGGAAGTCTTCAGCTGATTAGATATTTTGGAAATGAAAAAGAGAGAAACCCACTTTATCTATCCATCCATCCATCCATCCATCCATCCATGCATCCATATCTATCTATCTATCTATCTATCTATCTATCTATCTATCATCTATCTATCTATCGATCGATCGATCTATCTATCGATCTACACATCTATCTATCTACACATCTATTGAGCTACACATCTATCTATCTACTTCTATCTATCTACCCATCCATCCATCCATATATCTATCTTGTATAACTGATCTTTCCACTAGCAAGTGGCTCTGGGCAATGCATCACGAAACAAATGCAATGCAACAATGGATTAACAAATATTTAAAAAAATTAAAACAAGAGTTAAACCTGAAGGGTTGTTCATTGTATGGAGCCCTATACCATATATGATGTATTAAACTGATACACACACAAACACACACAAACACACACACACACACTGATGAACATAACTATGAGGCAGAATCACAGTTTAAAGCAGGGGTCGCCAACCTCAGGGACCTCAGGGACAACAAAACTCATAAATTTAGATCCCAGGGACCACTAACTGGTTCTGTGCGCATGGCCTAATTTGTGGGTGTGGCTTGGTGGTCATGTGACTGGCTGGGCATGGCTTGTATATAAATATTATATATATTTATATAAATACTGGTTTTTTTATTAAAAAAAGAGCAACTTTTACCCAAAATCAGGCAAAGCAGGCAGATTGAGTTGCTCACAGAATCATTGAGTGATCTATCTATCTGCCATCGGCTAGCTCAGTCTCTCAAATTTGCTTGCTCTGAGTCTGCACTGAATTTGTTTGCAAGCAAACCTTCAGTCCTAAGGGAGGTTCGGCTGTGCTGAGCCGATGATCTAAAGGCTAGCTAGAAAGCAAGAAATTCAACCATTTCCTGCTTCCTATCTAATCTAAATCTCCCGGCATAGCAGAACAGATGATGGTTGGAAGAAGGAAAAATAGCAATTTAGCAGGCAAGTTTACCAGGTAAGGAGTGAATGGGCGGGGAGGGTTCCCGCGGGCCATGTGGGCCACGCAGCCTTGTGTTTCTGTGAAGCCTGGATTAATTGCTTTGGTGGGGGTGCTCTGGGGTGAGATTTCTTTGCGGCCCACCAAAATTTTCTCACAGCCCACCGGTTGGCAACCACTGGTTTAAAGGAAACATTCAAGTTTGCAGAACAATTTGTGTAGTTCTTAGCTTATGAATATCAATAGATTTTTCTCAGCTGCAATTGTTCAGCTATGATCAAGTGATGTGTATTACAATTGGTACTAAAGCAGCTATGTTGTTTCAACCTTCCATGCAACTTATACAAAATAGATGTCACTGCTTTAAAGAGATGGCTATTTTTAAGAGTAAGGATATTAAAACCACAACACTTTATCTCCAGATTCAATTAAGAAGCTGGGAGGAAAAAAATGACATGGCTGATTTAATAAATAACAAAGAGGTGTTGTGCTTGCGTGAGGTGCAAAAACTTATTCCACCCAATCATTTACAAAGAATACACCTCCCAACCTAGAATGTCTTACTTACCAATTATGCTTTTCAGACAGCAGTGTTAGACCCCAGCTGAAAAACCAAAACAAAATATCTTTTATACATAGACATTTAAGGTAATTAAGAAAGAAAAGAAGACTAACCTTCCCAAAGCCATATTGTTGCTCAGAGTTCTCAGAGATCACATATGGCCTTACTGTGACTAGCACTGATTATGTTATCTAGCTTGGTAATTAAATGTCTTCAAGAAAACAACCAAGCTCAGAGAGCACCATTTCAATCCCGATCTACAAACATTCTCCTTTATTAGGCCCTAGTGTAAATGTACGAGAATCGTACGCTTTCAGAGGCTGAATTTTTATGTGTTGTTTTTGTTTCATGTTTGAGCATTTTGTGCCATGCTTGAATTGTTGTGGAAATCTGCTACTCTGAACACTTTGTTGTTGTATGTAGGTACACTAGGAGCTTATGCACTAGGAGACTAATCCTTGTGAATCCAATCACATGTAGCCAATAAAGAACCCTATTCTATTCTATTCTATTCTGTTCTGTTCTGTTCTGTTCTGTTCTGTTCTATTCATGTTCTATTCTATTCTATTCTATTCCTTATTCTATTCTATTCTAAAAGGGGTGCAGTGGCTCAGTGGCTAAGACGCTGAGTTTGTTGATCAGAAAGGTCAGCAGTTCAGCAGTTCGAATCCCTAGCACCGCGTAATGGAGTGAGCTCCTGTTACTTGTCCCAGCTTCTGCCAACCTAGCATTTTGAAAGCACATAAAATGCAAGTAGAAAAATAGGGACCCCTTTGGTGGGAAGGTAACAGCATTCTGTGCGCCTTCGGTGTTAGTCATGCCAGCCTTCGGTGTTAGTCATTCCAGCCACATGACCATGGAGACGTCTTCGGATAGCGCTGGCTCTTTGGCTTTGTAATTTCTATTCTATTCTATTCTATTCTATTTTATTCTATTCTATTCTATTCTATTCTATTCTAGTCTAGTCTAGTCTAGTCTATTCCTATTCCTATTCCTATTCCAATGCAGTGGGATAATTTGATCCCATAAGCAATATAATCCATAGGAGATAACCATACTGAGATTAGAAATAATTTCTGAACACAAAAGTAATAACAGGATTCCCCAAATAACTAACATCGTGGAACTGTGGCTTATCACAGATCAGGCAATAGCTACAGATTAGTTCCCTTATTTGTTTTGGCTTTTTGAAGCTTTACATTTCAGCAGCGTACCAAAAATAACAAAAAAGCGAGTGTGCTTTTGAACAAAAAACCAGCCATCATGGCTTCCTTGACTCTTGCTTACTTCGTTGGTGGCTTCAGTTTTTTCTTCACCCCGAGGTAAAGTTTCAGCGTTTTGACAGGAAATGCTTTCTCAGCCTTGCTGCTCTGTTGTGGTTGAGAAACAATTAGTGAAACAGTTAGTGAAACAGAAAACACACCAACCAGGCCTCCAGATCTGTTCATCTTCTGAACACCCTGTTGAAATCTTGCAAAAAAAAACCCTCCAAATCCTTTCATTTCCTAGGATTTCGTCTCTCTACTAGCATATCTGAACAACGGGCGGCATCTGACCAAGCTTGTCCAGACATGGGACCGAAGGAGGATTTTAAATTGGGTTAGCACATAGGTTAGTACAGGGATGTCAATCTCAAGGCCCGGGGACTGGATACAGCCCATGGGGTGCTTAGATCTGGGCCCTGAGGCCACCCTGGAAACAGCAAGGGACCAGCCTACGGTGTCTCTGCCAGCGAAATGGAGTACTGTTTTAAATGGCTGAGGGCTACAGGAGGCCATCACAGCTGAAATTGGGGCCTGGGGGAGCACGCATGGCCTACCTGAGCTCCGTTTCCACTGGCAGAGGGCTGCAGGAGAGCATCACAGCTGAAAACGGGGCCTGGGGGAAGTACGTGTGGCTCACCTGAGCCTTTCACTGGCAGAGGGCTGCAGGAGGCCATCGCAGCTGAAAATGGGGCCGGGGGGAGCACGTGTGGCCCACCTAGGCTCTGTTTTCACTGGCAGGGGGCTACAGGAGGCCGTCACAGCCAAAAACGGAGCTGGGAACCAGTTTTTGCTGGCAGAGTGCTCGGGCCACCACAGGTGCCCCCAACACGAGTGATGTCGAGCAGCTATGCCCACCCTGACCCCCAAGGTAAAACACAACCCTGATACGGCCCTCAATGAAATCCCTGGATACCCCTCAACGATACCCCTGGATTAGCACGTTCCAGATTTCTATGGAACATCAATGCTATGATCTAGACTGGAAAACTTTTTTAAATAAATAAATAAATAAATAAACTTATGTCAGGCAACATTGAAAGTGAACCAGGTCTGAACTTTTGCTAAAAAAAGAAAAATAAGACAGGACAACATCTTGGAGATCTGAATGGCTGTAAGTCTTTTGTAAGTTTGTACTGACCTGGTGACTCCACCAGGCATTTGAATTCTCCTGGTTAATTGTCTTGCATTGTTCTTTCAGTTAAATGAAACTATTTCTGCAACCTCAGATTCTTATTATTTGGATTATTGATTGTAGTTGTTGCTGTTGGTTTTGTTTTACTCCTTGTACACTGTCCAAATTCATTGACTTGAGATGAGTGACTGTGTAAACCCTTTTAACTCAAATCGAATTAAATTAAAAAAAAAAAAAACAAACGCTGCAGGGATGTGTATAGCATCAACAGAAATTGAGTCCAATGTGCTAATTGAAGCAAGTGCTTGCTGGCCTCAGTGAACTCACAGGTTGAGGTCTACAAACTGCAGCCATATTTTCCTCCAGCAGTTATTTTCACACATACGCAACTGACATCCTGAAAAGGATGCTACATAGATCTCCTACAGCAATTTTTCCAAAGTCGCAGCTACTAGAAGAAAAACCAATATAAAATAGCTCAAGAACAATTGGCTGAGAGGAACAGAGTTAACCTCATCCATTAGAGAGAAACTGTGGAGAACTCTTGATAAACAGAACGTTCTTATATATTTCAATTTTTATTCTTTTGGCCATGCATGGAAAATCCTTACTAAGATCTCCTGCCTTGCAGACAGTTGGATTAGAACAGGGGTGGCACATTTGATTTCATTGAGGGCCGCATCAGGGTTGTGTTTGACCTTGGAGGGCTGGGGGTGTGTGTGTGTGGTTGAGGTGGGCATGGCCATGGTGGGTGTGACCAGCTCAATGTCACTCGTGTCAGGGGGGCACCTGTGGTGGCCAAGTGCTAAGGCAGGACTTCCCTGAGACCCTCCCTCACTCTCATAATCTCCTTCCTTCCTTCCTTCCTTCCTTCCTTCCTTCCTTCCTTCCTTCCTTCCTTCCTTCCTTCCTTCCTTCCTTCCTTCCTTCCTTTTCTTTTTCCTTCCCACTTCATTCTCCTTTCTTCTTCCTTCCCCTCTTTCCTTCTTTTTTTCCTCCCTTGCTCTCTTTTCATCTTCCCTCCTTTCTCTTTGTCTTTCCTCTTTCCCTTTCTCTTTTCCTGCCCCTTCTCGCGTGCTCAGATGCCAAAGGGGAAACATTTCTCCTTTTTGTTTCATTTTAAGTTTGTTTTGATAGCCCTCTGCCAGGGAAAACAGAGTCAGGGGGGCTCACATGTCCACCCCCGGTGCCCTGTTTTTGGCCATGATGGCCTCCTGTAGCCCTCTGTCAGTGAAAATGGATCCCAGGGGGGCTGTATGCATGGCATCACAAGGCACTCCTTTGCTGTTTCCAGGCTGGTCCTGCGGGTCAGATCTAAGCACCTCATGGGTAGGATCAGGCCCACGGGCCTTGAGTTTGACACTTTTGGACTAGAAGATCTCCAAGGTTGTTTCCAGCCTCCTCCTGCCTTTTCCAAGATCAAGGAAGAGGCAGTCACAACAGGTGGCCATTTTATTCTTTGCGCACACAACAGAGAGAGGGGGGTGGAGAGAGAGGAAGAGAGAAGAGAAAGAGAAGAGAGAGAGAGGAGAGAGAAAGAGAAGACAAAGAGGAGAGAGAGAAAGAGAGGGAGGAGAGAAAGAGAAGAGAGAAAGAAAGAAGAGAGGATAAAGAGAAGAGAAAGAGAAGAGAGAGGAAAGAAAGGGGAGAGAAATAGAAGAGAAAGAGGAGAGGAGAGAGAGAGGAGAAAGAGGAGAGAGGAGAGAAAGAGAAGAGAGAGGAGAGAGAAATAGAAGAGAAAAAGAGAAGGGAGGAGAGAGAGAGAGAGAGAGAGAGACTAGAAAAGCAAATGTTTTCTCGAGGCGAATTTCTTTACTGGATAAAAGCCCATAATTAAATAGTAGAGTTTAATTTGTCAATGTGTTTGTAATGATATGGAAAGCTAGAGGTCTCTTGAAATTCATTTTGCCACTTTCTTTTTTGAGGCGGATTGCACCGATGGGAATTTAAAGCCCCGAAACAGAATGTCGGCCTGACCGGCCTTGACCGTATCTCCTTTTAAGCTCTGCCATACTTTGGCCTGGCAGTAGGAAACATGACGTGCCATTTAGGCAAAAATTAGCTCGGTTCAGCGCATGCTGCTTCCCCTCCCCCCCCCTCCCCAGCCCTACTCAGAATTTCATGGCTAATTGGGCTTTTAGCATTTCAAAAACGATTCTTAATCCATTTGGCTGCAGCAATAAAAGCATCCTTTCATGCAGCAGCAATGTACTTATTAATCTGGATGGGAGAGAAAGTGACCGCGTTTTAAAAATAATAGTGCTGTTCTCCGGGATTTCTTTTCTTTCTTTCTTTCTTTTCTTTTTTCTTTCTTTCCCTGGCCAGGCCATTAATGTAACGTTATGCACAGCAAAATAAACACAACCCACTTTGCTGAGATCATGAGTTTCCAAAGATTTGTTGCCTCGGGTTTCAGACCAGCTATTAATTTCAGGGGGAAATGGAATTCTTTTTTAAAAAAAGAAAAAGAAAAGAAAGAAAGAAAAGAAAGAAAGGAAGGAAGGAAGGAAGGAAGGAAGGAAGGAAGGAAAGAAAGAAAGAAAGAAAGAAAGAAAGAAAGAAAGAAAGAAAGAAAGAAAGAAAGAAAGAAGTGCCACAAGCCAAAGGGGAACAAGCAAAAGCTTTTT